TCGCTTGTAATCGCGATATTATTTGTTATATATGTTTCTTTAAAACAACAGCCATTGTTTTTTTTTTTTTTTTTACCACTTCTTTTGCATATCCAGTAATATATGTACATCGTTTATAATTTTGTATTTTTCATACATGAAACCATCAGTTGTTTCATCGCGAATAGAAAAAGTAATTTCAACCGTTTGATTAACAATTCTGATTCTGTCCTGATTTCAACGGACTCATCTCGATTATAAGAAACAATATATTGGCATGATTGAAACGGACATTGAAATGGGCATTGTTTGAACAAAATATTTGAAAAATAATTATTTAAATAACACGTCATGAATAAAATAATATTTTATTTCATTTTGTATTTGTATTTGTTTCTACAAATAATTTCTCATAAACAGTTTTTGATTGTTTTTATTGTATATACTTCACTTTCTGCTGGAATTGTTCACTATTCTTTTTCAATGAATTAATTCAAATAAAACATTATTTGAAAATGATTCATTTGATTTGGACCCACGATAAAATTACTTTCCCTAAGTTATTTTTCAAATAAAAACAATAAATTAGTAGAAAGGATTCATTATTTGAAATTGTTATTTTTTTATCTTTATCTGAAATAAAATTTATCTAATCATGATTTGAGTACATACACATTTGTTACTGTTGCTTGCTTCTGTTACACTCTGTATTGCTCATTCGGATTTTATTGGGAAAAATAATTTTTTTTTATTATTTAATAGTTTAAAAAAAATAATATTTAAGGAATTTTATTCATACTTAAAAGAATTAATTCTTGTTAATAAATATGAAATGTTTACACAGATAAAAAAACAGTATAAAAATTTCAGATTTATTATTACAGTTAATTCCATTTTAGAATTTACGAATTTTCTTTAATTATCTTAAAAGTGCACTATTTTTGCATTGCACTTTCGCTAATTCACAGAGTATGTCATTTAAATCTAAATTTTCATTTCGTCTATTTGCGATAGAAATAAATCATAGATCACTTAATCTTTCTTGTATTAATTTTTAGAAGCTGATGACACGATTTAATTAATAAATTATTATATTAATAAAGGCACTGCCATGTTGTTATGTACGATCGCAGAAACATTACAAACGCTTATAGCGTTTTAAAGTGAAGCTCCTTTTTAATCTATTCAAGATACATTAAACAGATGTGTAATGCAATTCCTAAAAAAGACGAACTACATATCGTGTGTATCATAGCCATAAA